TGTGTGACTGGGCAATGTTTCATTCTGTTGTACATCAGGTTGCTATAAATCAGAGCCAACTTTTCAGCACAACTACAACAATCTCAACCTATTCCCCTGATAACTAGTTGGCTGATCATATCATATCACATGGGGTATGACCTCATTACATACCTTCCAAATTACATCATTCCATAGCTGCTAAACCACTGAGAATCATAGCCCAGTTAATTTGACATATATTTTGGGGCTACACAATTCAATCTATGACGACACAATCTAATCTCTCTCTGTCCTACACATACACTGTAATTTAAATATTGGAAAAAGGACAGGACCACCAGTCTCTAGCCGCCAGTCTATAGCAATTCTCAGACATACTGGGCTGATCCTGCAAAGCCCTGTCTCTAGAGTGTGGAGTACTCCTTGAGCAGGCCCCAGTTCTGCTGCCAGGGTCACTCCTTGCCATTGCTCTTATGTGGCAGTGCCCTCCATCCTTTTCTCCATCCCACCCTCTTATTCTCTCTCCTCATTCCTTTGCTTCCTCTCACTTCTTTCTTCCCCTCGTCCTTACTCTCATACTCCCTTGATGTCAATTTTACATGGCGGTGGGTTTGACTTGTGTAGTAGTTATGTTTGTGTGTCAACTTGGCTGGGTTGAGTTGAGTGGCTTGGCAGCTGGTGGTAGTTATTCCCCATGATGAGACTTGCAATCAGCTCCATGGTGGGATCTACCACAAGCAGCTGAGTAGCTGCCTTTGGGATGTGGTCTGCTTCCTGTATATAAGGAGAAGCCTTGGGAATGGTCTGTAGCCTATGCATGCTTGCACCCTGCATGTAGCTTTGTCGTTGCTCAGCAGCCTGCTATGCTCTGCTGACTTTGGGACTTAAAATGGACTTAAGTTAATGACCTGCCTTGTGGTTTGCTGATATTGGGTCTTTGCCTTTTTACTTGTCAGCCTTGGGACTTCTTAGCCTGAGCGGCCAGCAGCTGTCTGAGTGAAGAAATGCCTCTGGCTACAGTGGGCCAGGAGCAGGAGGCAGAGCTGGACCCCAAGGCTGAGGGGCTTTCACCCAGCTCCTAGAGCCTGACACTTTGTACTTCAACTTAAAGCCTCCAAATTGTGAGAATAAACTCCTGTTAGTTAAGGCCATCCCATTTGTGGTATGGGAGCTCTGGTAGCATAGTGGCTAAGGCACTTGACTGCTAACCAGACGGCTGGCGGTTCAAACCCACTAGCCACTCCTCGGAAGGAAGGTTGGGCAATCCTACTTCCGTAGTGATACTGCCTCGGAAACCCAAGGAGGGGTCGCTATGAGTCAGGTCTGACTCGACGGCACATAACAACAACAACAACAATTTGTGGTATATTTCTTATCAGAGTGGCACTAGTTAACCACAAAAGCTTGGTTTTTGGTTTCTCCTGTATTAGAGGGCACTGATACTTCATTGGAGCCCTGTTAGACCAGTGGCTAAGCACTCAGATGCCAGCTAAATGGCCTGGAATTCAAATCCACCAGCAGCTCCATGGTAGAAAGATGGACCAGTTTGCTTCTGTAAAAATTTCAGCCATGGAAACCCTATGGGGTAGTTCTTCCCTGTTTTACAGGGTCACTGTGAATTGGAATTGACTCAACTGTAATAATGTTCAGGTGTTTCAGTGGTAGATTTCTCTTCTACCATCTGAGAGACCCAGGTTCAATTCTCAGACAATCAACTTCATGTGCAATGGAGGCTTGTATGTTGCTATGACGTTTACTAGGTTTCAGCAGAGCTTTTGTTTTGCTTTTCCAGACTAAGGTGGAGATTTACTTATAAAAATAAGCCAATGGAAATCCAATGGATTTTAAACTAACTAATCTGGTGGCATAGTGCCCAAGGCATTTGACTGCTAACAAGAAAGCTGGCAGTTCAAATCCACTCCTTGGAATGAAGGTCAGGCAATCTACTTCCATAGTGATACTGCCTCAGAAACCCAAAGAGGGGTTGCTATGAGTCAGATTCGACTCCATGGAAGTGAGTTTGGGTTTTTTGGTAATCACTGTGATGGTGCAGGACTGGGCATTAGTCACTGTTCTTTGTGAATGTGGTAACTATGAGCCTGGGGCCAACTTGAAATAGCTAACAATGATGTTTATTAAACTAACCTTGAGTCTATCAGGTTTCAGCAGAAGAAGGTGGCTCTCTTTTCCTTGAGCCATGTCTGTAAAATTTGACTTTACAGGACAGCAATATAATCCATTCAAGGATTGAGTTTCATACTTCTGCAAAGTTGATGTTTAATAAACATTTTATACTCACAGTTCTTCTCAATGTTATTGCTTTGTTGACAGGGATGAGGGCATCTGCCTCTGCCAGTCCTATAAGATATTCATTATTTGTATTTTTTATCTTCCATAACTGCTTTCAAAATGACCAATTGAGGTGTTGTTTTTTTTTAATAATAATTTTATGTCTGTAAAGATTACATATTTGGAAACACTATGAAGCAGTTCTACTCTGTCCTGTAGCATTGCTATTAGTTGGAATCTACTCAATGGCAATTTATTTTTAAGTTTGGTTTTGTCTCAGAACTTTGTAAAACACATTTTTATATCAATAAGCATGTGCTGGTAGTATGTGACAAGGAATAACACACACTTACTTCATCTTAGACCCTCTGGTTCTGTGTCATTCTGGGTTTAGAGCCTGTCAGTGGGCTGGTGCACATGTTTTGCAAGGTAGTAAGGAGGCAAAAGCTATTATTCCCCAGAGGAAGAACATCAGGTGGACCCTCTTGGAAAGTGAAGTTTCCTACACTCGTGCTATGGTTGCTGAGTCGGAACAAGGCCCTGGGAGAGCTCTTCTGATAATTTACCTCAACTCTGTTCCCCTGGAATCATTTCCCCTGTTAGGCAATCCTTGCACAAACATTGGGCTCCCTGTACTATAGATCTTCATGCTTTGAATATTAGAGAGCATTTTGTTATTTCTAACTAGAGTCTTGACTGGTACACCAGCCTTATTTTTCTACATAGTGTATGTGGTTTTCAAGGATCTCTTGTGGCATAGTGCCTGTTAGACTGGGTTCTCTAGAGAAAGAAAACAAATAAAGCTTATATAGAGAGAGAAAGAGAAATTTATCTTAGGAAAATGGCTCACACACTTATAGAAGCTGGCAAGTCCAAAGTTCTTGAATCAAATGTCAAGCTGGAGGCTTTTCCTGACTGAAGCAGCTACAGGGGCTGAGGATCTCAAGGTTGGCAGGCAGTATACTGGCTGTTGACTCCAACGAATGATGAATCCAACATCTCCAGGCCGAATGGTGGATTTTTCACTCACGTACAGTTTTAGGCAGCACAACACAATCCTGATCCACAGAAGAATGTCTCCTTTCCCAGGCTATCCATAAATATACTGGAAGCAGGCCACACCCCTAGTGAAATCCCCTTTCAATGGACTATCTCCTCAAAACATACACATCTGATCCCATCGTGGAAATAACCACATCCAACTGCTTAAACCACACAGAATTGTGGTCCAGCCAAGTTGACACATAGCTCCAACTATCACAGTGCCTAATGCATTTGACTGCTAACCAGAAGGTTGGTGGTTCAAACCCACCATCCACTCTGTGGAAGGAAGACTGGGCAATTAAAGCTTTATTGCCTCTGAAACCCAAAGAGGGTTGCTATGAGTTGGAATTGGTTCGATGGCAGTGAGTTTGATTTTGATTGTATATGGCGGTCAGATGTAATGCAGGCTTAACTTCTACTATTTGTTTAGAATGTAGCCTCTGAAGGAAGGGGCTGGGTTGTTGACCACTGTGCTGGGTATCTTTGTTCCCAGGGTCTGGTGTCATCAATGCACCAAATAAATGAGGAAGACAATTCATTAATAAAAGATAGGAGCTAGTCAGCTGAGGCCACTCCTTGGAAGGAAGATGGGGCAATCTACTTCCGTAGAGCTACTGCCTCGAAAACCCAAGGAGGGGTCGCTATGAGGCGGGTCCGACTCGATGGCACATAACAACAACAACAACAGTCAGCTGAGCTACTATCTCAGAAAGTTTCTATAATTGTAAACTCTATGGAAAGGATACATATTGGATTTAGTTGCAGATAACTGAACTCACTCTACAAAATAGTAAACTTGCAGTATCTAAGACATCACAGAATCTATGAAAGACGTAAAATCTCAAGTAATCAGCCTGTTGATCCCATGAACCTTATGATTGCCCTATAAACTGTGATTAGAGGAGTAATCTCTGCAGTATGCAGTCTAGACAGATTATCTCTACTTTCATGATGGTATTAGTCCCATCTTATTATCCACTGGTCACAGAGGATTGTACCCTTTAGCATGAGCCCTAGGAGCTTTCTCAAGCTTGGGATTAGCTTCCATAATTGAGTCCTTCAAACTTGTGTTGGAATCAGCATGTGGTTCCAGTAGCTACACCCTCTAAGTTGCTTGTTGTAATAGTGTGTTTATTTCTTTTTTGTTTGGGGTTATGTTGTTTTAGGAGGCTCCTGACAGAAGGAAAAAAAAAAGTTATTATCACATGAGCTAATATTTATGTAATACTTACCCGATGCCAAGCAGTGAGTTGTTTTTTTTTTTTTTTTTTAATTTAATCATGTCTTCTATAACACCTTAAAAAGTGGGCACTAACGTTTTCTCCATTTTACAGATTTATAGGTCTGAGGCTACCTGTCAAAATTTGGACTTTTGAATGCAAGTCTGCATCCACACTTTCAATTATATTTTTCTGTGTCATTTGGGCTCTCATTATACTTTATGATTTTATTACAACGTAAGGTTTTCCAAGCATTTTCACATATGTTATCACATTATCATTAACAGTAATGATTGAAGTCTGTTGCATGTCTCTGATCTTAAGTCAGCATGGTGGTCAGTACTCACAGAAAGGTGAATGGGGCAGTAAGGGTATAACATGAAGGAAAACAAACTTCTGACAAAGAAAACTAAGTATCAAGAAATTTCATTAACAGAACTTTCTTTGCTTTCTAATTTGTTTTAGGAATATCAAATTGATATATTTTTTGCTCAGACTTGGACAGACAGCCGCCTTCAATTCAACAGCACAATGAAAATCCTCACCCTGAATAGCAACATGGTGGGGCTGATTTGGATCCCAGATACCATCTTCCGCAATTCTAAGACTGCAGAGGCCCACTGGATCACCACACCCAACCAGCTCCTCAGAATCTGGAATGATGGGAAAATCCTCTACACTCTAAGGTAAGATGCTGTGTGAATCTTTAATTACTTATGGTCTAATTTTGAATTTTTTTACTTAGACCACCACAGGGATGAGACCCTATTTTCATCATTAAGTCCTGTCATTTTTCATGACTGATATGCTCCAACATCTTGAAAAATAGTCTTAATGTCAGTTGGAAAACATAAAGGCATACCAAGGATCTGCAATGAATATAATAAACTCATTCCTCATTCAGAAGCCATGTCTTTTGGAAGTGGGCTATAAAAACTATCTTTAACATATTTAATCTATGAATGCTCTGCTAGGAAATAAGAATGTCTTTGAGAACTAATTAAAAAATGGAACTATAACCAAATTTGAAACCTCAGGAGAAAGGAGAAAGGTGCACATTCCTCAGTGCACTAGTAGTAGTGCTAGGTATCATTTGATGTCTCTAACTGGATTCAGGGCTTTGCTGGAACCTTACAGTGGGAGTACATTTAGATTTTCAAAGAGATTCTGCAAAGGGAGAGAAACTGTGTTTCAAAGGGAAGCTTGGTGACACCACTCTCACTGCTTGGGGTGCATTAAAAAAAAAAAAACCTCATGGCGACATTGGGTCTGACTCCTAGTGACCCCTCCTTAGGTTTCTGAGGCAGTCTCACTACAGAAGTAGGTTGGCCAATCTTCCCTCCAGGGAGTAGCTGGTGGATTTGAACCATCAGCCTTCAGGTTAGCAGTCAAATGCCTTAGGCACTAGGCCACCAGAGCTTCCCCTTGGGGTGCTTGCTACTTCTTTAATGGCTCCTTCTTAAAACAAGTAATAAATGCTAGTTTTGGGTTTTACCTTTTCTTTTGTAATATGAAAATTCTCTTCAGATTTCTTTCATTTAGCAAAAACAGATACTAATGTAGATCTTTAATAAAAGTGAAGTTACATAAAGTGAACTTTCAAAAAGCAAAGATACCTATTGTCTGTCTTCCACTCTTTCCTGTGCCTTCTGTTCCTCCTCTTGATGGTTTTTCTCATTCTCCTCTTTCTGTCTTAGGATTTGATCCTTGTCTTTTTAATTTACACTTTCTTAATTTGCTTAGTTTTTATTACTTAATTTATACTTTCTTCTTGATTCACCAAGTCCATTCCTATGACTAAAAAACCAGATCTGTACTGATGAAACCCACATATCTATATCTAATCCAGAGCATTCCTCTGATCTCCAGCTTCAGGAAGACACTTGCCTGCATAGTATCTCCACACTGAAGGTCTAAAAGCATCTCAAATCCAGTAGGCTTTAACTAAAATGTGTGATTTCTGTCCTTCCTGCATCTGTGCCTTGCATCCTCCAGTGGATGAAACCACCAGAATCCTTTCCACTAGAGCTCATGGGTACTCTTTCCCCCTCCCCTCCCCATTCAGCCCATTGCCCTCAACGAAAATCACTTCCATCAAGTCAGTTCTGACATATAATAAGCCTATGAGTCAGAATACCCAACCCATTACCTGGATCTGATAATTATATATACCTCTTTCTATCTCTGCTTCCACAAGTTTCCTTCCTCCTGGGGGACAGGAAGGCCCTTCTTTTTGACCTTCCCATTCTTACCCATAGCTTGTTGTTGTTGTTGGTAAGTGCTGTTGAGTTGGGCCCGACTCATAGCAACCCCTCCTTGGGTTTTGGAGGAAGTATCACTACGGAAGTAGATTGCCCAACCTTCCTTCTGAGGAGTGGCTGGTGGGTTTGAACCTCTAGTCTTCTGGTTGGCACTCAAGTGCCTTAGGCACTATGCTATCAGAGCTCCCCCTACCCAGAGCAGTAGAGTGATATTCATTAAACACTCATTTCAGGCACTATTCTCTTACTTAGTTAATTTGGCTTTCTTTTGGCACTTGGATGATGACGACGGATGGCACAAAGCATCTTTAATCTGCCCGGTGATACTCCGTATGCTTTGCTCTGGTTCACATGTCTCGCCAATCTCAGCTCAGCACTTTTCCTTTCACACACAATTTGGAACAACCGTGGCCTCCTCCCATGTATTTAATGGTGTTAAACTTATGCATTCACTCCATCTCCCCTTTCCTCCCTCATCCCTTCACTCTGTACTCTCCATTTCCTGTGCTGGTAAAACTTTTCCATCTCTTCACTGGCTAATCTTAGGTCCTCCTTTAGGACTTGGCTAGTATACAGCATCCTCAGAAAGTTTCTCCAAAGTTCCTAATATAAATTGCATTTGACTATTTTTTTTTTTTTCTCTTCTATCAGGTTGTCCGGGAGCTCTGGTAGCATAGTGGCTAAGATACTTGCCTGCTAATCAGACAGCTGGCGGTTCAAACCCACCAGCAACTCCTCGGAAGGAAGGTTGGGCTATCCTTCTTCCGTAGTGATATTGCCTTGGAAACCCAAGGAGGGGTCGCTATGAGTCGGGTTTGACTCGACGGCACATAACAACAACAACAACAATCAGGTTGTCCTTTTCCTTTGAAACATTTGTCACATTCTTAATTATTTGGTTAGATGCCTACTACTTTCCTCCTTATCAAGCTATACACTCAAAAGCAGTAACCACATGTCTTTTATCCCTGGGCTCTGACCAACATCTGTATCCACCAACATCTGTATGCCCAGTGCATAATCAGGGCAACTCTTACCCCAGAAAACCTGCTGCCAGCACATCTTCCCCAAGGTGATGAACATTTGAAGAACAATAGTAAGAGATAACTGGTGCTTTTTCTTTTTTGTCAAAAATTACAACACTTTGCAATTATATTGTTCTACAGATTTTTTTTAATTTAATTTACAAAGCAAATTTGATTTACGTTCGACAGTTCATGCACATTTAATTTAAGGGCCACAATATCATCCCCAGGCATTAAAAAAAAAAAAAAAAAAAAAAACCTCCCTTCCCCCTTCTCCCCTGCTCTTCTTTCCCATCCTGTGACTATCCCCTCCATGAGCCCTTCTTAACTATGCATTCCTGTCTGTCCATCTTTCCCTTTATGTAAATGTTGCCCCTCTGGTGTCTTATGGATGATTGCTCTATGGGGTGCATCTCCCTGAGATAGGTGTTCTGCATGTAGGTCTTTCTACTGTTGGGCTGACAATCAATCCATGGAAGTGAGTCCATTTCTAGTCCCAAAGCACAACCTGGACCCACAGCATAGTCTCAAGGGTTCCACCAGTCTCTCCAACCAGTAATTCTGGTTATTGTTGTGTTTTTGAATTTTGTTCCATGTTTTTCTTCCCACTCTATCCAGTATCTCCAGTTTTGATCCCGTTCTGACTGTTTGGCATTGGTAGCCAGGCACCATCTAGTTCTTCTGGTTGGGGTGATGAAGGCTGAGGTCCTCATAGTCCATCTTATCCTTATTTCCAGATGCCTTTGATTTTCTTTGCACTTCTTTGCTTTAGTTGAGAGGAGACCAATAGTTGCATCTTAGAGGCCACTCAAAAGTTTTTAAGACCCCAGTCACTACTCACCAATGTAGGTTGTAGAATAATATTTTTATGTACTATATTTTGCAAATTGAATATGATGTCCTCTGAGACTATAGCCCTGAGCCTGCAGGCCCGGTGATTCTCTCTATCGAAGTGTTTTGTTGTCTTTGAGAAATTACTCCAATTCTGCCTTCTATTGACTTCTGTAGTGTAAGTGGTTAATTTTGTAGCACAAGTACATATGTGAGATTATCTTCAGCCAAATCTATACTTGATCTAGGGTATATTCCTGTTCACCTACCACCACCTGATCTTCTTACCTGTCTGTGCATTAATATGTAGACTGCAATTAATAACAGTGTTCAACAAAGCAGAAAATAACCAATGTTGGTGAGGTTGCAGAGAGATTAGAATTCTCATACACTGCTGGTGGGACAGCAAAATGGTATAACCATTGTGTAAAATGGTATGAAATTTCCCTAAAAAACTGAAAATAGAAATACCATTTGCTCCAGTAATTCCATTACTAAGAATATATCCTAAAGAGGTGATAGACAGGACATGACAAGACATATGCACACCCATGTTCATCACAGCAAAATTCACTGTAGCAAAGAGATTAAAACAACCTAAATGTCCCTCAACAGATGAATAGATAACCAAATTATGGTACATTCCCACAATGGAATACTATGCAACATTAAAGGACAATGAAGAATATGTGTATCATCTCACAGCGTAGATTAATTTAGAGGACATTATGTTGTTGTTATGTGGGGAGCTTTGGTAGCATAGTGCCTAAGGCACTTGACTGCTAACCAGAAGGCTGGCGGTTCAAACCCACCAGCCACTCCTCGGAAGGAAGGTTGAGCAATCCTAC